CCCTTTGGAAGGGTAGGCTGAAAATCTGAGTCTAGGCATTTTCACTCTTGCAGGGATGGATCCAGAAAATCTGCATGGACTGCCTGTGAGTACAGCATGACAATTACACAGTGGGGGGGGGGGTGCTATAATCAACCCAGGGCTATGTCATCTCTCAAATAAATATGTAAATCATCTGCACCAAGAAAGCCATGTTTCTACATTTCCTCCATGTAATTTATTCTGCTTGTCCTATTCATAGGGTGGGAGAGTTAAGTTCTGCAGTGCTTTAATGCTTCTCTTTCAGCCAATGAACGTTCTAATTCCTCTGTTCCTTTGGCTCCAGAGATTTCACCAGGCATTGCCCACACACTTTACCTGAAGGTGTGAGGGCTGTAAACTTTCTTTCTTTTTACAATCAATGCCAGATTCTATGGCTGTTTTGCACTGCCAAGCACTGTAGAGCACACACACAAGGCACTGAATATGCTATCACCATCACTTCCTCAATCTGCCTGTGATAAGTGTGTATACAGGAGGCATGACATGGAATGACATGGAATCCGTGCTCTGTATTTGAATGTGACAAGTAGGTATGTCTTTTGAATGCAGTGCATCATGAAAAAATAAATAAACATGCCTAAGTTGTAGGTATGGCAGATGGGGAAGGATGGAACACAACACAATGGAAGAGTGAAATCCTGTCTCCAGAGAAGGTGACGATGAATTTGTTGGGCAGGGGGATATTCCAAAGAAAACAAAGGCTACTATTCACTACTGTGTGGCTACAAAAGGAAAGGTATATCAGCTAGCTGATTTATATGGTGCTATAAGCAAAATAAACTATCAAAGGGAGGGGGGAGTCCAACAGCAAGCAGATCCCTGCTTCAAAGACCTTACAATCAAATTTTCAACAAGTGAGAGACATGAAGGAAGGGAAAGCAAAGCAGCAGGGATGAACCAGAGAGGTGCAATTAATTGTTTTTAGGCTTTGTTTTAAGTTGCAGGTGAGGCCAAGGTTAAGGGGTGAGTGAGGAAAGATTTGAAAAAAGAGAGGAAGAGTCATCCTAAAAATAGTCCTGTGTATAAGAGCTCAAATGCAGAGCATTATACACAAAACTGAACGTCAATGTTGAATGAATTGCCTCCTTATTTGCATTCTGTTGCTAGGCTGGGTTTTCTAAGAAGGACTTGTTTTCAAATTCATATATCCCAAGACAATAACTTCCTCACCCACTATTCCCTTGCTCTTGACTAGAAGTTTACAGAAGCTGAAGCCATATTAAAATGAGGGTTGTTGCTTTGGGAGTTTCATAGAGCAACCTGGAATGCCTTTATTGCTTTGCTTCTTTGCTTCTTCAAGTTAACTGTACACAAAATACTGCACCTCTATATCCTGCAACAGGGCCACCAGCTGAAATAGCTTCTCGGGGTCTGTCAGTTGTATATACGAGGTTTCTTCAAAATATTTGAAATGTTCACCCCAGGATGCTATCCAGCTCCTCCTTCTGCTAGGCAATAGTCTTCCATTCTGCATATCTCAAGTTTGTTGACCTTCCGCACAAAAAGTTTCAAAGAGATTCTCTGAAAAGTATGATTGATAAAAGCCAATAATAATCTTCCCCCAGTCCAACATAACAGCTTTGCCTCCAATATTGAGAAACAAGACATCCTTTATCTTTATTCCTTCAGGGGACTCTTCACGGTGGTCATATACTGAGAGAGTAATCCATAACTGCTTATTGTTTATTCATTAATTCACATTGAAGTCCATATCTTCCAATTCCATTTCCTGTTGCTCATGGTTTTCCATCCTTTTTTTTTTTTTAAGTCGGTTCCCATTTTCTCTTCTTCCATTCTTTTTTCAGGAATGTTCTCAGAGACTTAGTAGCTTTGCCCTCTAATTTAACTCCAAATTTTATGCAGCTCTGTCTCTGTCGGCTCAGAATAATTAGTAATTTCTCTGTTCATGGTTTCCTTCTCCTCCAACATCATAACTCCACCATTTGACTGTTTCACCCCTACAGAAACCTATGTGGAAGACCTCTCGATTTCATCATCTATTGCCTCCAGCTTTACCATTCCATTCTCACGTTCTGGCAATCGTCCATTAGTATTTTTCCCCAAGTACTCTTTCCCCCTCAGTCCATTTTTATTCACTGTTCTGTGAATTTCTGTTCTAAGTTCTTCCAATTGATCATTGAGTAGTTGTCGCATGATACCAGCAATCAGTGGGGTGTTTTTCCAGTATTTTCACCATACTGAGTGCCCCCCCACCCCAAGATCCACACACTCCTTGCTTACATTCCTAACATTCAACTCTCACAGTGAGCAGCCATGTAGTTTCATATTACAGCCAGCAAATTCATCAGTGAATCGGAGGATTTAAAATAAGACAAAATAAAGTGAAAATTTCTCAGAGTTGGAGAATCTCCCGTCTGTTTATAAAGTTTCTTTGCTATTTATTACTGGAGCTCACTTTTTTCTAGTTTTGCTTTCAGCCCCTTAATGGTTTTTCCTCTTAAGCCAGCAGTCTGGTCATATTGCAGATGAACATTTTAGCCAGCAGAGAGATGGCCTTGGTCATAATTTATAGAAGTTTTGGAAATAATTGCAGAAAGGGAAGTTAGCTGACCTTTATCCTAAGGACTAACAACTAGGGTTATTCTGCATGCAACCACCACCCACTTCTAATAAGTCTGAATATGGCTTATATCTCTTCCAGTTTGTTTGTTTGTTTGTTTGTTTGTTTGTTTGTTTGTTTGTTTGTTTTAAACTCCCTCAAGTTCCCTGTGCGAAATTTTTAGCATAGGTAAGAACTAATGTTTGTTTATGTGGGGCTGAAATGACTCTTTACTGGTTTCCAGATACATTTAAGCTGCAATCCTTATCTATATATTTTTGGGGAGAAAGCCCCGGTGTACACAGTGGAACATGTTTCCAAATAAACATGTAAAGAAATGAGTTACAAATCTGCTGCATTTTCTTTGACCTGAAAATATTGTGGCCCTTTAGAGTCAGAGAAGTTTTTCTTTAACCCCTACATACGGTGGGGGGGGGGGAATTCCTCCCAACATCCCCAGGAGCATCAGAAACTGTCTGAAACATGATGCTTGTGCACCATGAAGATGTGCCCAATTAAATGTTATTGGGGTTTTCGCATAATTGGGAGTTTAATTTGCTGTATTCAGGATCAAAATAGAATTTCCCCAGGTCAGATTTGCAATGGTGAAGCACCAGCCATCTTGCATAGTATATTTTTAAATTTAAAGCCACTGCTGCATTTTTTAATTTACAGAGCAAGAATGAATACTCAGAATCTTTTTTAAAAAATAAAGTGATCCAGAGTATCTTTAAGAACAGCAGAAGAACCTTCCAGCATTAGGCCCAGGTCCACTTAGCTCTGCAATTAGATCCACTTGGATCATTTCAAGGAATACTGGGAACAAGCGGGTACAGTGGTACCTCGGGTTAAGAACTTAATTCATCCTGGAGGTCCGTTCTTAACCTGAAACTGTTCTTAACCTGAAGCACTACTTTAGCTAATGGGGCCTCGTGCTGCTGCCACTGCGCCGCTGCTGCACAATTTCTGTTCTCATTCTGAAACAAAGTTCTTAACCCGAGGTAATATTTCTGGGTTAGCGGAGTCTGTAACCTGAAGCGTCTGTAACCTGAAGCGTCTGTAACCCGAGGTACCACTGTAATTGGTGGTCCACCAGAATTTGGCCAGTGGAACACTATGAACCTTCATCTTCTTTCCGTCCACTTCTGGATTAAAATATGGTTTAGAAGAACATGACACATATTTCATGACATACATAATTTCTGATATATAATTCCTGCATTGCAGAGGGTTGGACACTAGATGACCTTTGGGGCCTCTTCCAACCCTACAATTCTATGATTTAAAAAAGTATGAACAACAAGGAGAGAGGAGCTCCCACTTCTCATAAAGTAGGACTTGGAGATCCCACAGTCAAGCTGATTGACAGTAGGCAAAAAAATGTACTCCTTCATATAGTCCATAATTGACTTATCCGGTTCACTAAGACAAGGTCTGGGAATGACAAGTGGCTTAGATGGCTTTTAGAAAGGATTAGACACATTCACAAAGGATAGGACTTCCAGTAGCTATTAGGTAGGCTAAGCAAACATAACTTCTGTGGGGGGAGTTGCAAATGAAAAGATGTGTATGTGTGAGGAGGAAGAGAACCCCAAGCAGACTGACAAGAGGGTCAGGGCTTTGTGGCTATCAGGACCAACAGAATTTTGAGAACAGGTGAGGATCAGCTGCAGGGATGGAGGTAGGATTCTCAAGCACAACCAACACCAACAAAGTTATAAGTACAGTAGAGAGGCCAAACTCCTCTCTGCATTATACATGGAAGCTTCAGGAAAGATATTATCTCTCCCCTCCTCCCCTTTGCTTCTTCCCCAACTTTCGCCATGTAGCAGGTTCTTGCTCCAAGGTGGCAGGAGCAAGGAACTGGAGCACCTTTCTTAGGGGGCGTAATATAGCAGGTCCTTCCTTCTCACTACCAAATGTAATCAGTGGAGAAACGAAAAGGGGTGGCAATCACTCCAGTGCCCTGATGTTGAGTACGCAGGGGCATCTGACTAGATGAGATGACCTGATCCATCAAATTGGCAGACACAGCAAATCGGTTCTTATGTTCTTAGGGGGCTGGGGGTTGTGTCTTGCAGTCCATGGCCTGGCTTGAATAATCTCAAGTTATTTGTTCCATAAGACGCTTTCTGCAAGGCACCTGCACTCTGATGCGTTATACTGCTTAATCTGAGCCTCATCCGTCTCACTCCTCTCACATAACTGCTAATCACTGCAGTTGCTGCACGTATCACGTGTCTCCATGGCTTATGGGCAGGAAGACATTGAGTCCCCTTTCTTGAATTTGTCACAGGAGGCTTCTTTCAGTAACTTTCTTTGAACTTTCCTCCAGGTTATCAACAATTACCTGGATGGGGGTCAAACAGGTTCCACAGAAAGGCTCACACCTGGAGGGATGCACTTCCGAGACAGCAAGAGGAAAGTGGACTATGTTTTAGCTTATCACTATCGGAAATCTACCTCGCAGTCCAGTGGTGGTTCTCCAAGCCTCTCGCAGAGACCTCCTTCTTTGGCTATCATTTCTAATGGGGAGACGGCCAAAAGTCAATCTGAACAGCAGCCGTTGCCGCCACAAGGCCAGGAAGCAGCTTCTACAGATGCCGAGGTCATTGATCTGGGGCCGTTGGAGGCTCTGGAGGAAGCGAAACGGGAGCAGAGGAAAGAGTTCGAAAGCAACCTGATGGAAGCTGGTCTGGAGATAGAAAAAGATGCAGAGGTAAGAGGAGGAACTGCCAACAGACAGGTAGGAAAGATCTGATGGGTGAGGCCAGAAATCAGGCCGGACTGTTGGCTTTCATTTTGCAAACAAAGTAAGTACCTAAGGCAGTCATGTCCAGAGTCTGGCCCGTGTGGCAGTCAACAACAACAATTTCAATCCTAAAAAAGCTCAACAATTTCAATCCTAAAAAAAAAAGGTCAAAAAAAGGTCAACAACGTTGGTCGGCCCTCACACATGTTCACTTCATCAAATCTGGCCCTCTTTGAAAAAAGTTTGGGCACCCCTGGGCTCTTGCTCAAAAGTTGTCAGACAAAATGCGAGCTCCTCCCCCAGACCCAAACATCAATGAAATGGGCTGCCCTGGTTGGTAGTCCCTGCCATACGGGATTTTAGCCAGTTAAGTTAAATCAAAGCTGTGATGGGCAAGTCCCATTTTGAATATTACACAAGAGCTAGTGATTTCTAGAGCTCCCTTTTCTGCTTCTGTCTCATTGTTGCCCAATCCAGACCTTGCATGTTGGTAATAGTAGTGGCCGTATGCATAGCAGCTGCTCTCCACGGCCCATCCACTTCCTCCTCTCTCTATGTCCTTCCAGGCATGCACATCCAACAATTTCATAGCTGATAATAAGTGTACATGCGGCTTTAAATTATCATTATTTTTGCAAAAAAAGAAAAGAAAGAATGTTATACATTTTATCTATCAACTATTTTTGGAGAGAAATATAAAAGTGTACATTCAGTTTATGATGTCATTAAAATGTGTTGTACCGTATTTTTTGCTCTATAAGACTCACTTTTTCCCTCCTAAAAAGTAAGAGGAAATGTGTGTGCGTCTTATGGAGCGAATGCAGGCTGCACAGCTATCCCAGAAGCCAGAACAGCAAGAGGGATTGCTGCTTTCGCTGCACAGCAATCCCTATTGTTCTGGATCCTGAGATTCAGAATATTTTTTTCCTTGTTTTCCTCTTCCAAAAACTAGGTGTGTCTCATGGTCTGGTGCGTCTTATCGAGCGAAAAATACGGTACTTCCTTCTCAATGTTTGAATATTTTTATTTATTAGACTTATACCTCTACGCCTTCTTCCAAAGGAGTCTAGAGCTATAGGAAGTTTAATTTTTCCTGGGTTTCTAAACCGGACAGCTTGGCCTGTTTTGAATCTGGTCTTTGTAAGCTTCCTATACTCACTTTTCTGTGAGTAAGGCTGCAATCTGAATCCTATTTATCTGGGAGTAAACCCCATTGAATTTAGCAGGACTTATTTTTCAATAAATGTGGTATGTATGTGTAGTTTTTCTTACAACCTGTGAGGCAGGTTGGGCTGAGATTTGGTTCAGTCACCAAAGCACACAGCACGCTTACAGTATTGTGTGGGTTTGGTGGTTTTTTTTGCCAGAGTTGGCAAGCTTTTCTCTTTTTGTTTGATATAGCTCTTGCTGTACAATAACATGACAGCTGAAGCAAAAGCACAGTGTCCCTTTTGCAGCGATTTTATACCTCCTACGCCTTAACAACAGCCATGTGAGATAAGTTTAGATGAAAGTTGGTGGCTAGTCCAATGAAGTGAGCACAACAATGATGAATTAAGTCTTTTAAATGTTTAAACCGTACGTTTTCAGAGAATGTATGTGCGTACCTGTACCTGCGTATCTAGTTATCAAGGTTGGAAAACTGGTTTTGCTTTTCGCCTGCTATGAAAAATTAGGAGTGGAGGGTGAGAGGTTGCCTGTTCTCCTAGGTTTGCTTGTGTTTTTATTTCCAGCGTTTCATCACCTTTTTATTCCAAATTATACGGTTGTAGAAGTTAGTTTTTAATATATTAAGCTGCTTGGATGTTTTGGTCCTCTTGTTTTTACAATGTGGAACAGGGGAACGCTGGTATAGAGAGAAATGTGCTTTACTTTAGGGAGTGTAGTTGTTATCCAATCTCTTGGAGACTGTATTTCTTCTAGGGCAGGAATAGGCAAACTAAGGCCCGGGGGCCGGATCCGGTCCAATCACCTTCTAAATCCGGCCTGTGGATGGTCTGGGAATCAGCGTGTTTTTATATGAGTAGAATGTGTGCTTTTATTTAAAATGCATCTCTGAGTTATTTGTGGGGCACAGGAATTTGTTCATATTTTTTTTCAAAATATAATCTGGCCCCCCACAAAGTCTGAGGGACAGTGGACTGGCCCCCTGCTGAAAAGGTTTGCTGACCCCTGTTCTAGGGAAATGCAGCAGTCAGATAGCGCATGGAGGGGGGGTGTTTGTTACGTTGATTGTGACACTAATTGGCAGGAAGAGGTGATTAGCTGCTTTCCCACCCATGGAAGGAATATGGGGTTCTTAGGAGTGGGTTGGTGCTGCTGGAATAAAAACTTAAATGAATTGTTATTCAGAGAGCTTGAGGTGGTGTCCATGGCTCTTTCCCTTTCCATTTTATCCTCACAAGATCCACGGAAACCAAGTGAGCTTCATGGCTGAGTGGGTATTGCAAATCCTCTGTGCTCAGAAGATCTTAAATCTTGACTGTATCCAGCATGAGCATCTGAACAGAGTCGCTGTAACTCTCAAATCGCTTTTGACCCTCCCTCTGTAAGAAATGCCATGCGCAAGATCAGCAGGTGAAAGACTGACAATAACATAACCCCTTAGCAGCTCATGAAACTTGATGTTGTGTAGGACTGCCATACGTATGGAATTTCCCGGACATTCAGCTATCGATAACAGTGCCTGGGCAGAAAACGATTAAATGTCCAGGAAAACCCGGACGTATGGGAACCCCTCTCAACAACTTTGGCCAAAAAAACGTTAACAACTTTTGTGTCCGGATTTTCACTTTTTGAAATATGGCAACCCTAATGTTGTCCCTGCTGCCCTGCCCTGGTTTGGGGATGGCATTGGAGAAGAGCAGGGGTTCTCATGCCTTAAACAGCTATATGACAAGCAGATATTAAACACAGTAAGCAGTAGAGAACTACAATTATGGGGAAACGCCGCCCTATTTAATGATCTGTTCATTGGTGCATTACTTTTGACTCTCTATCCCGACCTGCAAAAGAGGAAACAACTTTCCTAGAAACATAGAATTGTAGGGCTGGTTCTCTTGCATGCATGCATGTACACACATACACACACACTGAGCGACATCTCTCTGCCCCACCCCCCCAACAATCATGCAAGCCCCTTTATATAGCTGGTGGCCTCTGAGCATGGGCCCTCCTGAGGTCATGAGCGCTCAGCCAGTGCCCCACTAAGCCAGCCACTGCCCATAGCTGTCAACCGTCCCTTATTTGGCGGGAAAGTCCCTTATCCCAGCGCCGTGTCCTGCTGCTGTCCCTTATTGATGATGTCCCTTAAATTTCCCGGGTTTCAAAGGAAGCAGCTCCTCTCCCTCCCTCCCTGCCGGCCAGGGAGGAGGAAGGCTCCAACTGTGTTGCTTGGCTGCGTTGCTCACCCAATAAGGAGTCTAAGAATGACTGGGGGGTGGAGCTTGCATGCTTTGTGCTGATCAAATCGGCTGCATTGCCTGGGGACTTGCTTTTGCTCAGCGCTTCCCAGCGGAGACGTGACGGTGGGTATCCTTGCTGCAAACCTTTGCCGGGTTGCTGCGCTGTGGGAACCACCATATGAGGCTTCGTTTGGCTGCTGGTTGACTAAAATCCCTTATTTTGGCTGCTGATCCCTTATTTTCGAGGCTGCTGGTCCCTTATTTTCAAATCTGTAAGTTGACAGCTATGCCACTGCCCATGATTCTGATGTTCACGCCCATGATGCAGTCACGCTTATGAACATAAGAAGTGCCTTGCTCTATCAGACCAAGGCCCACCTACCCCACATTCGTAGACTCTACCCCTGCTCTACATGGACCATCAGTAGTTAAATGAAGCTTCAGTTGCGCTGCTATTTAATAACCACAAATGGATCCTTTGCTGTATTCATTCATTATAGTATATGTCAAAGCCATAATAGGGCAGTCATTTGAGATGAGCTTTGGCACCTGGACAAAAAAGATTGCCTTGCAGGCTGTTGTGAATGAAATGCGGTTTGAAAGGCACAGAGCATTTAGGAGATGAAGGCTATTTTTAAAAAAGCAACCATTTTTTTTATTTTTCTTCTAAAGGCAAGTAAGCTTGTACCTCTCAGGACTTGGTCCCATAAACCCAGAGTTGTATACAACCCAGAACATCTTTTAGGCAAAACATCCCTGGTAAAGAAAGCAGAAAGGTGTCTGGTAGTTGCCTAGATGAAGATAAGGCATCAGTTTATGTTTCCTTGCTTAAAGATAGAGATGTTCTTATATTGCGATTTTATGTTGTGAATTGCCCTGAGACCTGCATGTATAGGGCAAATTTAATAGTAGTCGTAGTAGTAGTGGTAGTATTAATAATAATAATACTCCTACTTAGTCCAGCTCCATCTACCATAAATGCTCCTCCCCTCTACCAATTTTGGCCCATTTATTGAAAAAAACTACTTGATGAAAATAGAAGAAACACGTCCCAGTTCCTGCACATTTATTCTCCATAAGTGGGATGTCAAATTAGTGGAAATTTTTAGATATATTTCAGATTCTGAGATCAGCAAGTCAGCTGGCATTAAGTTTCTTCAGAAATATGTCACTATTTACAAAAACAGTGTGTGGGGTTCAGCGCTGGTCCTTCTCAGAGCAGATCCATTGAAGTTAATGGACATGATTAACTTGGGGTCATGGATTTCAATGGGTCTGCTCTGCACAGGATTTAGCTGAATGCAACCCATTATGAATAGGGATAATTGATAATCTGGGATAATCTGCTAAAGAATGAATGGGACTATGAACACCCTATTCCCACACCCCCTGGGGTGCCTTGGAGATGACCCTTTGTTGTTGTTGTTGTTTAGTTGTTTAGTCATGTCCGACTCTTCATGACCCCCATGGACCAGAGCACGCCAGGCACTTCTGTCTTCCACTGCCTCCCGCAGTTTGGTCAAACTCATGCTGGTAGCTTCGAGAACACTGTCCAACCATCTTGTCCTCTGTCGTCCCCTTCTCCTTGTGCCCTCCATCTTTCCC